AGTGATACACCATTCTTGTAAGCGTATGAAACTAATAAAACTCTCATTCATCGTCAGTTGCACAGTGGGGGATGAGAGTAAGTAGAAATAAGAGTCTATGGGACCGGCTGTTATAGATGTATCAGAGTGGGGATTGTCGGTACACAGAGGCTGATCTCACATACAGTGAGTTTGATGTAACGTTACTTTGAATAAGAGAGCAAAACCTCTTTATTCTGGACGACAGCGTTCCGAAAGAAAGGGTCCGGATTAACACGCTTTCTGATTAACAAGTCACGGTAGATAGACACACTTTTTGATAAACAAGTTTAAGTCACGGTGGATAGACACACTTTTTGATAAACAAGTCACGATGGATAGACACACTTTCTGATAAACAAGTCACGATGGATAGACACACTTTCTGATAAACAAGTCACGATGGACAGACACACTTTCTGATAAAGAAGTCACGGTGGACAGACACACTATCTGATAAACAAGTCACGATGGATAGACACACTTTCTGATAAACAAGTCACGATGGATAGACACACTTCTGATAAACAAGTCACGATGGATAGACACACTTTCTGATAAACAAGTCACGATGGACAGACACACTTTCTGATAAACAAGTCACGGTGGATAGACACACTTTCTGATAAACAACTCACGGTGGACAGACACACTTTCTGATAAACGAATTATGGTCATGTTATTAGTAAGGGAAGTGTTGCCAACGATGACCGGTTTCATGGGGTGTGCCGATTAACGAGGTCTTGAGGAACGGGTGTTAATGCAGACCAGTTACTTCAGAGCAAAGGAGAGAGAGAGAAAAGAGAAAAGAGAGCAAAAGAGAAGAGACAGAAAGGGATAGAGTCACAGAGATTGAGACACACTGCGTGTATGTGTTTATTTGTTTGTATGTGTGCGCGCACATGTGTTTGTAGGGAGGGGAGACTGAGAGACCAAGAGCGGGCATATTTGTCGTCCAAGCCACGCATATCCCGAACGTGAAAGACTGCTTGTTTAGGGTTTGTAACGGGCTTGATATTTTATCGCGTATTGATTACGAATGAAATCAGCATTAACTTAGGATGAAATCAGCTTCCATCACTGTTGTTTCGCCAAATACACTTCTACAAAAATAACTGTCAGAACCAGTCGTGTTGAAGTACATGTAAACGTCGGCTTCAGTAAAAACCTGATTTAGCTTCAATGGAACTTGACTAATGCCGTTGTGTAATGAAGCATGGAGCATGCGCAGTAGGAGAGCTGCATATGCATGAGTACAGTTATATTTCATTATAAGTAAGAGTGAATGAATATGGTTTTATGCCGCTTTTAGCAATATTCCAGCAATATCACGGCTGGGAAATATAACTGACTGAGAAAACACGGATTTAGTCAAAGGCATTTTGGGATCTTTTAAGTGGCGCTAATACAAGTTGGCATCTAACGTGAATAAATAAATAAATATTTAAATTGTAATGTTTTGGCGAAGAAAACACGGAGGGCTGACTAAAAACAACTACCGGGCTGTATTTATGTATTTGATATGAGAATCGTAGTTTGGTTTTGACTTTAACTTGGCAGTACGGAAAACTACGTTTATAATGAACTACGGTTATAACGAACTATTTTGGTCCCTTTTACCTCGAGCTGTATGTTTTAGCCCAATGCAATATAATGAACTACGGTTATAACGAACTATTTTGGTCCCTTTTACCTCGAGCTGCATGTTTTAGCCCAATGCATATAATGAACTACGGTTATAACGAAACTATTTTGGTCCCTTTTACCTCGAGCTGTATGTTTTAGCCCAATGCATATTATGAACTACGGTTATAACGAAGTATTATATAGTGGTCCCCTTGAGTTCGTTAAAACCGTAGTTTATTGCCATTTTAATACAATGTGTAGTCCTGTAACCTTTCGATAACAAATTTTATCAAATCCACTTTCCAAGTGTATGCATATTTTCCGGATTCTGTTACATAATTACGATACGTAATGGCGATAGTTAATGATATTTATCCAAATGCTTTAAATTTGTTCATGGTTGAATCAATCTGACGCAATAAAACTAATTCGCTTTTACTTTGAGCCGTGAAGGTTCTGGTTAGAATTGGTCTTCAGCAATCCGTGCTAGTCGTAAGAGGCGACTAATGGGATCGGTGTGTCAGGCTCGCTGACTTGGTTGACACATGTCATCGTATCTCAATTGCGTTGGCCGCCTTATAGCTAGAATATTGCGACGTGCGGAGTGCGGCGTAAAACTAAACTCACTCCAATTGCGTTGATCGATGCTCATGCCGTTGATCACTAGATTATCTGGTCCTTACTCGATTACTTACAGAAAGCCGCCATGTTGCTGGAATATTGCTGTGTGCGGCGTTAAACAACAAAACAAACCAAAACTCCCCGAGTACAACATCAGTACAATTGTAATTGTCATGAGCAGCTCACGTCATCCTAAGCTAGACGTTAATCATTAAGAATGTACAAACATGTTCAATAAACATCAGTCAATCCTTGGTCAACGAGCTGTACCAGGTTTTAAAATTTAAAGCGAGAACCGAGATCGACAACAAATAATTAGGATAAGAAATATTGATATATAATCGGGAGCTGTGCGTTTAAGACAAACGAATTTTCCTTTTTTTGTCATAACAGACGTTTTGTTCAAACACCTTCATCGGTTATTCCACGTATTAATTGAGTCACTGCCTTTATTCACTCTGACAATGTTAGACAATCAAATATTTACCAAACAGCCGTTACCTTCCAAACATTCCGATCGCCTTATTGGTTTGTAATATAAACAAAGATGTTTCAACAAGAAATGGCTCTTTGATCATGAATGTGACATGTGTACACGTTTAGGGCTATTGGGAGACATTTGTCAGCCTAATTACGCTTAGATTATGGTTGTATCTTTTAATCAAATTAATTCAAGTGTATACTTAATATGTATTTACATAGAGTACCTGTATTGGGAATGGAACTCGGGTAATTGGCGTAGCGAGCAAACACTGTACCTCGTTAGGCGAAGTAGGACAAAGTGTCGGTAACGCATGTTATTGTTGTTATTGTATGATATTTATATAGCGCACATATCCAGGCAACTAGTGCATGCTCAAGGCGCTGGTATTCTTTCCCTCGATCATTGGATGTCAGTCTCAACGGCACATCGTATTATCAATCTGAACTCCCTGGGGAGAATACAACTCTTGCAGCCACTAGGCGCACCGAGTTATTGTGGCTTTGTCATCCTAACGAGGTACCCATTCACAGCTGGGTGGGCTGGAACACATAGTCACAGTACTTTGTCCAAATTCACTGCACGTTGCTGTACCCGCAACTAGGTGTTTGCACGTATACATGTGGCCACCATCTGGTCATTAACCACGAACCCACGACCATAGGTCTCTTGCACGCCTAAGTGAGTGAGGGTGAGTATGGTTTTATGCCGCTGTTTGCAATATTCCAGCAATATCACGGCACGGGACACCAGAAATGGGCTTCACACATTATACCCAAGTGGGGAATCGAACCCTGGGTACCGTTGTACAAAGAGATCTTAGCGCTAAGGTGGCCGTAACTCCCATACCTTAACATAGACTTAAGGTAGTCTCAGTGTTTAGGTTGTTTTGTATAACGGCACCCTGGTCTTCCGCGTGACGAGAGGATTCTTGAACCACTACACTACCTCACCGTCCCTCGGCATGCCTTAAGGAACTACAAGTATAAATGATAGACTGCCATATAGTCCCAGAAAGAAATATCGTAGTTATTATTATATATCTGAGAACAGCATGAGGCCGAGACACAATAGAAGCCAAATCACTCTCTGCTTGAGTAGAACGCCTGTGTTATAATTTTTCAAGGATCTGGCAAACAGACTAGTATAAATGGGTGAATAGAGTCTAAGACCTTATTTGGCAACACTGCAGAGAGAGACTAAACTTGGATCTTCAGTGAGATAAGTGATTACAGTACTAAGGTCAACCGTTTGGTAGTGAGTGAGTATGGCGTTACGCCGCCTTTTGCAGTATTCTAGCAATATCAAAGCGTGAGACACAAAAAATGGGCTTCACACATTGTACCCATGCGGCGAATCGAACCCGGGTCTTTAGCGTGAAAACGAGCAAACGCTTTAACCACTAGGCTACCCCACCGCCCCACCAAACGTGTGATAACATGGATGTACCATTACGTCAACGTTGGGCAAAGTTACGTCCCTTAGTTGTGCGGGGATTCGCTGACAGTAGGTGGGAATCCTAGTTCCGCTCTCTTGTTGTCACAAAACACGCATAAGATCTTTCTCTCACAATAAGTACTCAAACACAATTTCAACAATACTGTCGAGGTAAATATACCTCTAATCCTGTCATTCACTCACTCACTGACCCCCCCTCACTCACTCACGCATATATGTGTGATATAATGTACTCCACAGACACAACCCACCAGAAAACCCAAAGCGGTTTTACCTATGGGGTAAATTTAAAAACGGCAACGTTAGAGTGAGTGAGTTTAGTTTTACGCCGCTTTTAGCAATATTCCACCAATATTACGGCAGGGGACACCAGACATGGACTTAACATATATACCCAAGTACCCATGCGGGAATCGAACCCGGTCTTCCGCTTGACGAGCGAACGTCCTACAACAACGTCAGAGAATAACAAAGGCTTCATTTTCTGCTCAAACAGATTTCATTGAACAAAGATGAGTGATGGAAATAGATGACTGGATCACTGAAAATCAGTTGTGACACCAGGTGTTCGTCAAATGGTTAAGCATGTCCTGCCCGATCGTTCTAAAAAGTCTAAAACTAGACATGATATCTCAAATCAATACCTATTCGAATAACTGCCAAAATAGCATTTAATTTAAATACATATTTTAAACATTTTTAAAAATATAAAATATTGGTGGCAATAATGTGAATGGGTCATAAATACATGCATCTAAACATGTCAGAAAGGTGTTATGTCTAAACGATAACTTACGGTTTAGGATGAAGTTAACTCGAAGGAGATGACGCCGTTAGTCTGTAGTCCAGTTTTTGTGAAAGTCACGGGACTATGAAAACAAGCCTCCTGGATCAGAGTCTCAAGCTGTAGCACTCGGTTTAAGCACAGCAAACCGAAAACGACTTTCATGTGTTGCCTTGTTTGGTTGTTATTTAACATCCAAACCCCTGGCCTTCTCTCGATCTCAGCTTTGATAACACTAACGACTCGACCAGCCTCGCTCCGGACCCTTCGATTGCGAAAGCTTGTTTGCTCGCATTCCGTCAAAGCAGCCCTCATGGGAAAGAAGGGGTGTGAGCTTATAAGCTATCTGTGCTTGTGTCTCAAAGGTTTAACCCAGGACAATTTGGGCAGATCCATAACTACTTTATCATGTCAGAAGACAAATCGATATATTAAGACTAAACTGAGTTCGTGTGATTGGTTTCTGGTCAGGTCAAATTTGATCTCACTGTGAACCACTGGTGTGATACGCTGGTGAAAAGAAGTTAACGAATTCTTGTATATTCTTGTAACTTAATCTGTCATGGAAGAATCGGATGTTCTTTCACATATAAAGTATATAAGTATAAGTGATTTTGCACTATTCCTGTGTTCAGTTTGTTTGCTGTTAACGGCCGCACTCTTGCTGTATGGCAAAGTTACAGCTATATGACGCCGACCTGGGCATAATCGAGTGTGGACCAGACAATACAGTGATTGACATCAAAAACATCGATCTACGCAATTGGGAAACGATGACATGTATCAACGATGTCAGCGAGCCTGACCACCCGATCCTGTTAGTCGCCTCTTACGACAAACATGGATTGCTGAAGACTAATTCCAAGTGTCGGTTTACGCCGCTTTTAGCAATATTCCAGCAACACCACGGCGAGGGACACCAGAAATGGACTTCACACATTGTACCCATGTGGGGAATCGAACCCGGACCTTCGATGTGACGAGCAAAGGCTTTAACTACCAGGGTACCACATAATCTTTAAAACAGTAGACTTCTATAGATAACGATGTCCTTTAAAGTTTATGCAGGAGGTTCCACATTTTCCTTTAAAAACAATTAGGGAGGGGTTTATATATAAAATTGTACTTTAATATCCAGTGTACGTCAATGCAGAAGGCTTCTATGGGCAAAGTTGTACTTTAATGCAGCGTAGTGTTGGTCTAGATATACAGATGTACTCTAATGAATAAATACGACAAAACCTTTTTAACATCCTCTACCGTCAGTGTGTTAGGTTTTTATAATTGTGTTGTACTTAAACGCCGGTACACTAGACCTTCCAAGATAATGCAGTTGGAGTCTGTATTATAGAATTGTACTTTAACGTCAACGGTGTGTGTGTTTGTGTGTGTGTGTGTGCGTGCGTGTGTTAAAATATAGTTGTACTTCAATGTAATTTCAGTTCGGGGGTTACATATACTTACTGTACTTTATCATCAATGCAGTCGGGATCTGTAGACAAAGTTGAACTTTAACGCAGAGCAGTAGGATTTTAAATATAAAGCTGTACTGTAAATTATAAACGACAAAAACAACTTTCCCTTTTGTATAAAAAAGCTCTCATGAAAGCAGAGGCTATTGTACAATACTGACTATATCATGAGCATGTGTTTATGAATCACTATCAAATATTGTTTTTTACTAGGTGTTCGTGAAAAGGTGCGCGTGTCCTGTACCACCGTGTAACCCGTCATAAACACATGCAAATACAAGTCAATTATTCATCCGAAAAAACACGGGGAATGTACAGTCCAAGTGAAACACACATTGCAGTAAATTCCTACACATAAATAATAACCTCAATGTGGAAGATTCTAGACAAATTACATTCAGATGTTGCAGGTTCTTTTTAAATGACCTCAGTGCAGCAGGATACTCTAAAAGAGTTACAACTAATCGTGAAATGACTTAACACGAACGCGCACTTGTACCTAACCGCCACGACAGTGTTGCGAACAGAATGAATCTGCCAAATGCAGCTTTTGATGGAAGACCAATATGAGTGAGTGAGTGAGTTTAGTTTTACGCCGCACTCAGCAATATTCAAGCTATATTGTGGCGGTCTGTAAATAATCGAGTCTGGACCAGACAATCCAGTGATCAACAGCATGAGCATCGATCTGCACAATTGGGAACCGATGACATGTGTCAACCAAGTCAGCGAGCCTGACCACCCGATCCGGTTAGTCGCCTCTTACGATAAGCATGGGTTACTGAAGGCTCATTCTAACCCGGACCTTCACGGGTAAGACGAATATGATTTTTGATAAGGAAAAACTGACAATACCAAATTCCTACAACGTATCGGTACAGACATCCATACATGTACTTGTGTTGGTTGTAAGTCACGTTGATGGGAAACACAACCCACCCACCCATGCAGCTAGACTAACGTGAGTGAGTGAGTTTTAGTTTTACGCCTCTTTTCGCAATGTTCCAGCAATATCAGAGGTGAGGTGAGGTGAAATTGGGTTTAACGTCGTGCTTGAGAATATTTCGCTCATATAACGACGTGCATGCGTGTGTATGTGTATGTGCGGCTGCTTGTACTAGCCCAGACTTAAGCTGGTTTTATAGTGCTAGCCCACTGAGATGCCATGCCGCAGTGAAGCATGGATACCCCACTCAGATACATTATACTGACTCCGAGTCGACCAGTCCTTGTTGTACCCATTAATGCCGAGCGCCAGGCAGGGACCAACAAGTACCATATTTTAACGTCTTTTGGTATGACGCGGTCGGGGATCGAACCCGTGACCTTCCGCTCTCCGGGCGGACGCTCTAACCACTACACCACGGAGGCGGTCCCAGCAATATCAGAGCGGGGGACACCAGGAATGGGCTTCACACATCGTACCCATCTGGGGAATCGAACCCAGGTCAAAACTCCACAAAGCTTACAAATGTTTGATTGTAGGTATATGGAGGATATTAACAAATTATCGTGTCACTGACAAAAATGATGAATCGAACCCGGATCTTCGGCGTGGGGAGCGAACGATTTAACCACAAGACTACACCGCCGCCCAACTTAACTAACGCTTAGCCTCTGACTATATGATATTTTGATAGAAACAAACCATTTCCTTTTAAATTGAAAAGAAGCCCCAGTGAGAAGGCAGGTTCAGAACCTGAGGAAATCGGACATGGTTCTTTTAGGACATTAGCACTAGAGAAAGGGCTGGGCGGAAGGGGAAATAATGTGGTTCAGGGACTGTGAGACATACTCCAGCCCAGCCGGCGGGTTAGTCTGCTCATCGTTGTCTTCTTCCGCGTGGTGTTGGATCAGCTGCACAGCCTTCAAATGTGAGATATCAGGAACCATAGGCGGATCCAGAGGGGGGTGCAGGGTGCACTTAATTTAAGATCTGCTTTCATAAATTATGTGTCTACCTCATCGTTTCTTTCGGTGCACTTAATTCAAGAGCTGCTTTCATCAATTAGGCGTCTATCTCATCGTTTCTTTCGGTGCACTTAATTCAAGAGCTGCTTTCATCAATTAGGCGTCTACCTCATCGTTTCTTTCGGTGCACTTAATTCAAGAGCTGCTTTCATCAACTATGTGTCTGGGAACACAGCAGTAAACTACCCTTATAACGGACACGCTTAATGCGAACTGACGATATAACGAACTACGGTTGTTACGAACTAGAATTAGGGGTCCCTTTGTTTGTTATAACCGTTTACTTTTCTTGAAATCAAATTGACTGTTCTATCGTGGAAAGGTGTAAAATTGAACCTGTACATGATGTTTGCTATGTTCAAATATTTGAATGTAAATACGGGTGCCATTAAACGTAATGTGTACAGTGTTGAAAGTGGAAATATTTAATACGGCGTTATCTATTTACGATTTACAAGAGAGTCATACGACTCTTCTTGAAAAGCTGTTTGGTCAAAGTTACAACATTCAAAACCACAGCAAAGTTTACAAAATGTTTTGTGGCATGTATGTGGAGAATATTACCACATTTGACCCATCAGCGACAAATATTACAATCGTATGCTATTCCCCTCTTTGAACTCTTTGTTTCGTGCTATTTTCAGATGAACGATTGACTAGCCTTTTCATGTGTTTGGCACGGGTGGCTTTCGCGAAAACCTGGTGTCATCACTTTTGATTGCAATTCATAAACACGTCGTTATGATATAGCATAAATTGTATAATGGCGTTCCCGTGATGATTAGTGATTTTTGGTTGCTATTATGTTGTTACCTTCGTAATAACGTACCAAAATAGCACTCCGTTTCGAGTCCAGGTAGCTACCATTCCATGATGCACACATCCAAACAAGATTAACTAAATCTTCTAAATTTAGCACGACAACACAAATGAAATGAGACAAAGTTCGACGCCCCTAAAGGAATTCCGTATTGTCACGCAAATTTATATGACATTTTTTAAAAACACATAATCGAGTCACGTTTTAGTAACAGCTAATTTCGACTCGCAATCTCCCAGAATATTCTTGACTTTAAAAGTATTTTTATCAGAACAGATTTAGCTATGATGTATTAGTTCTTAGTTCTAGTTCTGATTAGTGCCGCTTGGTCCACCATAAAACAGCTGGTTTGTGTTAGCGCCGCGGGCTATTATGTTATGTTATGTACAACATATAATTATATTTCGATATTGCTTCCACGACGGAAATTAAATCAACTTTTTGTTTGGACTAACCACAATTTCTATAGAAACGAAGCCTGCATGCATACAGACTACAGAAACAGCTCAACTGGGATGTAGAACAATACAGCGTTGTGTGTACCGATCAAACTTTCGGTTTATTAAAACGCTTGTGAAAATCAAATTAAATGGGTTATACATCTTCTGATTAAAATACCTTTGCAGTAGAATGGGATTTAACCGAAAGAGCAACTTGTGATAAATAACAGACCCTCAACTTTCTATCATCAAATATTAATCTCTACGCTCCTATGGCTGGCGCTTTTCAATTCTCTCCACCGAGCTAATTAATCTTGGAGCCGCACTTTGAAGTCCCATCGAGAGATCGTTCGTTATCGGAATACATGTCCACAGGATTGTGAACGTCCGAGTGCGGCATATGGTCAATTAAAGTTTCCTCGTCCAGCTAAGTGGACATTACGTTTTCATTTGTGTCAGAATTTATGAAAG